CAGAACCCCTGGAGACCCTCTGCCCTCCTGGCTTCTGTCTAAGGTGTAGACAACCCAGGGGTGGAAAGGGCATGCTCCTTAAAGGGCTCTAACATCATGTCCCAGTGAATGATCCACAGCATCACTGAAAATCCACTGATGGGAATGGGTGAAGGGGACAAGTGGCTTAGACATGTATGAATAATGTTCCTTCTCATGCCATGCCACTGGCAGACACTGGGAATTAGCCACCATATAAATCCTGTCACCATCTACAAATGCCTGATGACTACAGGGCATTTTGTCCCTATGAACTAAAGTGTTGAGTGGTTCAATGTAAATATTTAAAATAAGGTATCCCATGTTTCATCTCTCATTCTCAAAATTGCAAGTGGTCAGGTCCCTTTCAACTTCTGATAAATCCTAACACATCTTTTGACAATAAGGTTTATGACCAAAATAATGCAGCCACAAAGGTTGCAAAATGGTAGTCCTTTTCTATTTCATTTTTAAGATTCTGAATATCTGGGCCATGAGACACAAGCGTAGTAGAATCAGACTGCCTGCCGCTTCCTGCTCCATCATTTACCAGCTGGGTCACAGCAGGGGTGGTACCCATCGCTCTTAGCCTCTGCTTCCTTCTCTGCAAAACGGAGACAACATGTTTCTACTTCACAGGTGTTATGTGGGCTGAATGAGGTCACCCATGCAAAGACTGTCACACAGTAGCTGGAGTCCTAGTTAAGTGCTGCAATTTGCTGGGATTATGATGATTAGGCAAGTGTGTGTAAAACAACCAACTACACAAAATGTGACCTTGGCAATTAGAGTAGGTTTGAGCCTGGAGTAGACCATTTACCTCCTTACCCCTTCATAGAGACCTCAAGGGAGCAGATTTCTGGAAGGACCTGGCATTCCAGAATGACCTAGAGAGGTGAATCTCCTGCTTGCCACATCAGTGGGCCTTCCAGCAGGTCTCCGTTCCTTACCAGCTCCCTGTCCATCTTGGAAAAGGAGGGAGCTACATTAGATCCACAGGCTACTAGTCATTAAGAGCAAAGGCTTGGAATGGGACTGCTTTGGTCAACATTTTTCCTGTGCCACACACTAGCTGTGTGACCTTGGGCAAGTTGCAAAAATCTCTCTCAGTTTTCCCTTTTGTAAAGTGAAGCTAGTAATCAATTTTACCTTAAGGATTCACTGAGGGATTAAATGGATTAATAAATATAAAGACTTATAAGAATGTCTTTGGAACAAGAGCTCTATTAAGGTCAAGAACTGTTTTCTTATTTTTTATATTTTATTGTTCTTGTGAGATGATCTCAGAGGTCCTGCTCTGCTCTGGTCACCTGTAAAGATCTATACTGCTTTAATAAATCATGCATATGTGGCCTCAGCCCTCTTCAAACTGAGTTGGGGCATCCTCCCCAGCCTCTCCTCCCTTGGGGTCCAGAGGACCCTTTCTGTAGCCCTGGGGCCAGCTGGCCTGCTGGCCAAGGCCTCTTCAGATTAGAGGATGGACTCCTGACTCAAGTTTCTCTGTGGCTGAAAGCTGGCTTTGCAAGCATGAAATTGCCCTTGGGGTCTCCAAGGTCTTCATTCCTATGAGGCCACATGGGATTCATTACACTGCAGGTGGGGTGAGAAAGATGTGAGCTAATGCTGACTGCGGGCTGGACTGGAGACAGGCAGGCACACTAGCCAGGCAGGCAGCTGGGGTGGCAGATGGGTGGATGGTTCTAGCAGGCAGACCTGAGGGCCGCCCTGACAATGGCGCGGGAGAGGGTGCTGTCAACCCCTACCACCCCTCACCACTCAGTCTTTCTGGGTGAGGCTGCTGTTAGAATAGTCTTATGACCTAACCCAGATGTCTGAAGCCACTTCCAAAGGGCAGCACGTGATTTTCTATCTTTCAGGAGAGTCCAGCTCTTTTGGTGGCAGGGTATGTGTATGTGTGTGTTTGCACGTCTCTGGTTAGACCCGCATTTTACCAACCCATTTCCCCAGGCACAAGGAAATACTGTTCCATGGAGAGCTGGAGGAGGGCCATTTTCAAAGGCAATGGTAGCCTGCAAATGAATTCAGACTCTCTCCTTAAACTCCACATTTCTTGCTTTTCAATCTGTGGGACTCAGAAGTCACAGGATTATAAGATGTTAATGATGGCCAGGATCTCGGAGACCCTTCCATCCACCCCATTCAATGGAGAGCAAGGAGGCCCCAAAGGAAGACTTCAGGGGCCTGAGCCTCTTGCTCCCTATCATAAAATACATTTCCTCTTGTGCAAAAGGGAGAGTTTTAACATATAGTAACCATCTCTCCCCAAAGTCACTGAGCCCTTGCTGTCAGGCTTTGAGGAAAAATGAATAATACAAATCTCCTGCTCTGAGCTCTGTCCAGAACTTGCTTTTTATATCCCAAAGGAAAAGTCTAACAGATGTTACAAGGCTCTGCTCACCTGGAGAGGTGACAGAGAAATGTGACCACTGGTTAAACTCTAGGCACCAGGAAAGATCACTGGGAGAGTGTCACAATGCCTCATCTGTTGGCTCGAGGGCTAGCCAGGAAATTCTCAGCAGGGACTGGGCATCACCTTCCACCCCTTTCTCACTGCCAATCACAGTAAGCACCACCAGTGGCTAGGACAGGACCTTCTGAACCAAAGATTCTCACCCTCATGTGGATGCCGGACATCCAGGCATAGCTACATATGATTGGGCATTGCATCTAATAGAGGATAAAGGCAGTGAAAAGTATCTCCCCATCTCTGTTCCTTGGAATCCTAAGATTTCTATCTTACTGCAATGAGAGAGATCCAAGTGTGATATGCAGTGATATCCAAGTGCAGAGATGAGAATCACCCCCAAACTTTGCTCCTCTTAAAACCTGGGAAATAGAGATCAGGCTATAGTGGACTCTCTGACTCATAGGTCTGTTGTTCATTCCCATCCACTCCCTGGGGTCCAAGAGAGGGTCTGAGTTGCTACAGGCCCTCTGTATTTGGCCACACCCGCAGCTTCCCTCTCCCCCATCCCCAAATGCTGCAGCACTGTGGCTTCTGAGATTCCCTGGAGCACAGCGCTTGCCACAAGCAAGAGTACCTCGGGGTAAATGGACTGCCCTCCTGGGAGCCAGACTCCTGCCTCTCATGGCCACCATTCTCCAGTCCCTTCTTCTGCCACCAGAGCAAGCTTTTAAAAATTGCAAATTGAATCCTGTCACCCTTCCTGAGTACACAAACCTCAATAGCCCTTACCAGAGAGATCAAAATGCCTCAATGGTTTCCAAAGCCTACCTATCCAAATTCACTTGGTGCTGCTATCTCCCTGGTTTCCAAGCTCTCTGACTCTCTCGGTCCTTCAGAGCCTCTAGTGCAGTTTGTAATGGGGAATCTAGCATCTGTCTGTCCCACTGAATGGTAAACTTCATGAAGGGAGGGCCCGGGAGTGTGCTTCCCCTTGAGTTCCCAGGGCCAAACCTGAGCCAGGGCCCAACACCACATAGGTGTTCAACACGTATTTGTTGAGTAAATACAAGACTGGCCCGACACTCAGAAACACACAGAGGGGAAACACATACACAAATGCACGTCACAAAGAGGTTGAAACTTCCCCTCTCAGATCTCAGGCAGAAGGAGCTCCTGTGGAATTAGCAAGGTACTAAGGAATCTGTGGGAATATCCAGTGACACTCCCCATCCCCGCGTTGGAAACATACACCCACTTCTCTTCTACTTCACCCAAACCCACCTTTTTTTGCAGTGCTGGAGATGGAACCAGATCTCATGCATGCTAGGCAAATGCACTGCTGCCGCCCCACTCCTCCAATCCTCTCACCCACCCCCTTTTTATGGAGACGGTTCTCAGGTCTTATGATGTTGCCCTGGCTAGGCAAATTTGAAGCAGACTCCCTGCCGTAGTCTCCCAAGTAGCTGAGATGACAGGCACCAGCTGGACAGGAACAGTCTCCAGCTGCTCACCTGAATCCTTGACCACATCTTGCTTGTAGGAGCCAATAAACCAGCTTTCTGTCCTTAAGGTAAGAGCAGGTGGCTCTTCCAAAGCAGACCTTATCCCCTCATCTCCTGGGCCTTGCCTACCCTCCTGATGCCCGAGAACATCTACTGCCAGTGAGCCTGTTTCCAATTTTCACTTTTCATCCATGCATCCTTCAACTCATTTATCTCGCCCCAGGGGTGGAACAAGCCTGTAACCCCAGCTATGAAGGAGGCTGAGGCAGAAGAATCGCAAGTTCAAGGGAAGCCTGGGAAATTTAGCAAGACATTTTAAAATAATAATAATAATAGTAAAAAAGGACTGGGGATATAGTTCAATTGTAAAGAGGCCCTGGGTTCAATACCAAAAACAAAACAAAACCCATCCATTTGCCCTGCCGGCTTCTGCCCATCCAGCTGGGCAGCCCTCCTCTTCAATTCCTTAAAAACATCCTGGGCAAGCTCACCTTCCCTGGAAGATCTCTTGGCTTTATGGTTCTCAGGTGTCCCCTTTCCCTTCTGCTCTCAGGTGGAGCCTTCAGGATCGCCCCTTCTGCCTATTTGGGACAGCAACTAGTTTGCAAAGTTTGTCAACTGTTTGGTTCCACTTTAGGGTGTGATTCTCAAAAGGACAGCAGCTTTTTATATCTGTGTGACTTATGATGTCAAGGGTTCCAAGGGATGAGTTTAACTGAAAATTTAAGGATTTGGACTGAAGACACCCCTGCTAACAGGGATCAGATAAACCAGGTACCGTGGGGCAAACATGCTCAGGCAATCTGGTTAAGGGCTAAAAGTGCTGCAAAACCAGGAGCTGGATGGGCACATGTCACAGGACCCTTCCATCTCTGACCTCCTCCCAGGCAAGGGTGTTAGCTCCAGGGTCAGGAGTGGGGGGGCCTGGCCCTGCCAAGCCTGGCCAGAGGAGGAGGGAGGCGGGGTGAGTGGGAGGGGCGAGGGAGCCCAGGCGCCTGCAGTGACCTACATCTGCTCCAGCACCGGCTGTCCAGCACCAGAAGGTTCAGAGGCTCTGGTGAGGAGCAGCAGCTGGAAACAGGGAGGAGGGAGTGGATAGAAGGAGGAAGGCCAGTGGTGCACCCAGGTAAGTGGGCCCTGCACATCTGGCTGTTCACCCAGGCCAGGGGCAGTAGAGGTGCTGACAGTGGCCTGTCCTCTAACTTTTCTACTTAGGAAGGGTCAGACAGTGGGCATGAGATCAGCCCCAGCAACATTCTCTGGCTTGTGGATCAAACACTGGGGTGCATACACATTGCCTTCAGTCAACCCCAGGATATTTGGAGGAAAGAATTTCAGTGAGTCCTGACTGGGTGATTCTGCCCTGGCTCTGATTTTCTGGGCACTGCTTGGTTTAGAGTATGAAATGACAGCCAGATTAAAATCTCACTAGCAGTCCAGAATGGGGACCTTGGGGCTGGGACTTGTAACATCTTAATTAATAACATGGTCAAGAAGTTGAGAGAAACTGTCTGGCTCTTCCTAAGTGGAGAAGTTGGAGGTGGCAGGAACCTGGATCTGCAGAACGGAATAGCAGCTGGGGCAGAGGGTGGGAGAGTGTGGGTCCTGGGGACAGGCCAGGGAGACACAGCCTGGGGGACCAGGCTGAGAGCCTTGTTGTTCTGAAGTGAGGGCACAAGTCACTGCTTTTGCTCAAGAGAATTAGGATTTTTCTCAAAAGTGGGATTGAATCATGGAGGGAAGAATTCCTTTCCTTCTCTGTTCCCTCCAACTGAGTCAACATTCCCCTGATCTCCAACCACACAGATGTCTTACCCATGTGTCATTGACCTTGTACCTGATCTAACTTATTCCTGAAGAGGACAGTGATCTAGCAGGTGGGGTGGTTTACCCTCAGACCCCTAAGCTCCCCAGGGTCTTGCTTCTCTGATTTTCCACTAAACCTGTAGGCAGGAGACTAAGGGAGGGGGGCCAGCACCTGCATGATAATTCATGTGTGACAAATAGCCAAGTAATCAGCTGATAGATGGTGGTGGTGATGATGAAGATGGTGACTAAGATAGCTGTGTTGAACTCAGACTACTCCAGTGTGGGGGTCATGGGCAGGTGCCAGTGCACGCACCTCTACAAGACAACTGTCCTGGGGAAAGGGTGGTATAGAGGCCGAGGCACCCCACAGTGAGGCCTGGCCTGCTGGGTCCTCCTCATTGGCGGCTCTCTCCCCGCCCTCCCTCATGATTCCCTTCTGAGCAGCGGCTGTGACGTGAAGGCGCCTGTGGTGCCTGTGACCGCTCCAGAACGCACTTGGCGCACCATGGCATTCCAGCACACTGGGGGGCAGCGGCCAGACTGCAGCGGTGAAGCTGAGGCTAGAAGTGCCAGTGGGTGGGCATTTGTGAAAGGGAAATGAGGAATTTGCTGTCATGGGCGATTCTAGATGGATGGCTCTTTGGGCAGGAAATGGAATCTCCAAAATGGAACCGCTTGGCCGTTAGCCAACCACACAGGAGGTGGGCTTGCTGGAGAATTCTTTGAAGACTCCCCCAACTCACTCATGGCTCCATCCCATCCCAGAACCAACCCACCCCTTCTCCTGTGTGGAACACGGCATTGGCCTTAACAGATGGATTCAGTGGAGAGGAAATCAGAGGAATTGTGGTGGTGGAGGTTGGGAGAGGCTGGGAAACACTCGTGATCACCTGACACTATAATTCACTGGCCTCAGAGGGGAGCAGATGGATTTATGGTGATCCCACTGGCTGGGCATAGAAGAAGCTTAAGACTCGCCAAGTCAGGGACACTCCTCGGCAGACCTTGAAGGATTCCAGATTGGTTGAGGGTGGGAGGTAAAGGGCTGCTGGACTCTTAGAAAATCTCAGAATTGGGGGAGGAGCCAGGAGGCTGGAGAATGTCCTGGAGGATTCACATTCCAAAGTCAAGAGAGCAAGGCCATTGCCATTAAACAGATGGAAGAATCTCAGATAAGTGTGATTCCTCAGGTTTGGGAAAGTATGTCTCACCCTCTCAGAGGTCATGGGTCTAGACCCCACCACGGTAGGCAGGGTCAGTGTTGTGCTTTCCTTTACCTGGGAAAGGTACTGATTGGGCAGCAATCTGTCCTCCCTGGTGTCTCAGAAGTTAGTTTGCTAGAGACAGAATTGGACAAAACCAAACAGCAGCTGGGCATGGTAGCACATGCCTATAATCCCAGCAATTTGGGTGGCTGAGGCAGGAGGACCACAAGTTCAAAGCCAGCCTCAGCAACTTGTGAGGCCTAAGCAACTTAGAGAGAGACCCTGTCTCAAAATGAAAGATAAAAAGGCCTGGGGATGTGGCTCAGTGATAAAGTGCCCTGGGTTCAATCTTCACGTTCCAAAAAAGAAAAAGAAAACCAAATGGCATCTAGTTGGGGTTAGACTAACTCTTGGGGGTGGCAGCTTCTCCTAACTTCCTCCCCAGATATGGGTTGATGTACTGATGGTGTGAGATGGGCTGGGGTGAGAACAGCCTGGGCCTCTGATAAGTAATTCATCTTCTACCCTCAGATATCAATTTCTACCCTCAGAAGAGCCTAAAAGGAGCCAGAGCTATGGCAGGTGAGAGAACTTACCTCCCCACCTCCCCTCCCAGCCCCAACCCCTGGTTGGCACCCCTCAGGGCGGAGTCGGGAAGGAAGAGAGGCAGGAGATTTGGGGAAGTCTCCTGTCTCTTTGCTTTTTTCAGTTTTGGCTTGGCTTTGCTTTCCTGAGTGAAGGGTGCAGAGCCTCCCACATGAGCCCTTGCTTCCTAAGAAGGAACTCTTCCTATTCTCCCTTCCCCAGCTTTTCTCTAGTGACATGCTTGGGACCTTCTTAGGGTGCTCCGTGCCACATTCTAGGGCCTGGAGGGCCACCACTGTATTTCCACTAGAAAGTTAAAAAGCACTGGTCACAGGGAGGTGGGCCACACATCTGTGCCCAAGGTGGAAGGGAGAAGAGGCCTTGTTCCTTGTCTGAGAGGTTGGACGTTTCAGTCTACTGAAGGGCACCTGAGAACGGGAAAGGGCAGGCCCATCTCCCCCTCTCCTACCTTCTCCAGGGAAGCTCGTGAAGAAGTCCTCCATCCCCGGGGTGAGCATCCGGCAGCTGGTGGAGGAGATCCCTGAAGGTTGCAGCACACCGGACTTTGAGCGGAAGCCCATCACCTTGGCTCTGCAGGAGGGTGAGGCCCGAGGGCAGCGCCCAGGGGAGGCACGATGCCTGCTCTTCCACCTCTCATCATGCACAGGGGAGAAGACGTGGGTGCCCACTTTCCTGAGCACCCAGTCCCTGTGTCTGTCACCAGGCCATATGTCTCCCTCCTGTACTCCAGGGATGTCTGCCTGCCTGGATTCCCTAGAAGGGACAAAAAGTCTTGGGGAGAAGGGAATAAATTGAGGCCATCCTGTGCTGATGGAGAAGCTGCAGCCTCTTTTTCCTCTTCCCCTTCGGCCTTGAAGTCACTGCTGCAGAGAGTCAGTGTCAAAACCCTTCCATCCAACAATTGTCTCCTGACAGCCATGTGCCCACTGGCTCTCAGGTTAGGCTCAGGAAAGCCATGCTAAAAGACCACAGGAGAAAAGTGCCCAGGAAGGTAGTGGAAAGGGCTGGGAGTGGCACTGTCCCCAGCACAGTTCCCTGCTATGGATTTTAGTTCGTGAGATTCTGGCGTGAGGGCGGGTCTTCTGCTCTCTCGCTTCCTTTTCCTCTCTTGGCCGCATTCTTTCTACTACACAAAGGATGTTTTGTACAGGCCTACGTCAGGGATGACAGACAGACAGACAACACAAAGGGCACATCCTATCTCGGACAGGTTTTATTTGGTGGGCACGGCACTTGAAGTTTTCGGAATTACTTGCCAGCTTGTAATAATCGCAAGTTAGATGCTTGTTGAAAAAGCTGATCTAGTCCCTCCGTTAGTTATGCTTACAATTGGTTTGCCAGAAATTCTTACCAAGAGCCGCCCAAGGAACAATGGTACCATGCTTAATATTTCTAAATCCAAAACAAGGTCGTGAGAAACTGGGGAGGGCCCTGGGGGCTTCAGTCAAAATGCTTTCCCCCCGAGATGTTCCTGGGGGGAGGCCTAGGGGATGGTTGAGGCTCTCTTGCTTCCCAGGCTCTCTTGCCTGCCGTAGAGGTTGGGTCTTTTCTGAGGCTGGGGTCCTGTGTCTTAGGTCTGGCTCCTCTGGGCACCAAACAAACAGCCACTTCTTTCTAATTCTTTTCTGAAACACTCAGAATTTCATCTCCCTCCCAGTCTTGTGGGGGATCCTTACACATCCACTCTCAAACAGGAGCCATTTCCTCCCAGCCCTGCTCGCCTTCCCTTCTCACCATGGACAGTCTAGTTGCCTCTTTCCTTCATGAAGCACAGGCCAGCACTGCTCTGGGTGCCCAGAAATTGCTGCTTTCCACCTGACATCCTGGGTCCTGGGTCACGGGGACCAAGGCCTGGCACCTTTCTTGCAACAGGCAGTTGAAATACGTAGAGTGGGGAGGATGATGTAAATTAAAATCTCCACAAACTCTGCTGTCATTCCACCCCAAATTATCAGTCTCCCTACTGGCCTTTTCCTGCCACAGGGAAAAATGCCATCTTTCGGGCTGTGGTCTGTGGAGAGCCCAAACCCGAGGTGCGTTGGCAGAGCACCAAAGGAGACCTCAGCAACTCTAGCAAGTACCAGATCTCCTCCACCCCTGGCAGCAAGGAGCACGTGCTGCAGGTAAGCACCGCAGTTCTCCTCTGACAAGAGTCTACTCTATATTCCTGTCCCCTATGTGGCTGCAGTCCCCAAACAAGTAAAAGATGAATTACTAGTCGAACTGGGTCCATTCAATTCATTCCATGGCTCAAGGCTTCCTGAGCCACAGATATCTCTGCTGACAGCCTAGGCTAAACTGCCTGGGTAAAAAATCTCAGGCCTACCAACTTGGCTTTGGGAAGTTACCTCTTTCCACCTCTGTTTCGTCATCCGTGCAATGGGATAATAATAATACCTACTTTAGGGAGATGTTATGAGGATGAAAGGTTTACATAAAGGTCTAGCCAGAGTCTTGCCTGAAGTGAGTACACAATCTTTGGCTTATGATTTGACTTAAGATTCTTTTACTTTATTATGATAAAGTGCAAAAGTGATGTGCAATTAAGTAGAGGCTATACTTCAAAATTTGTCTTTACATTTTGATCTTTTCCTGGGCTAGCAATGTGCGGTACTATAGTCTCGTCCTAGGCAGAGGCAGAGAACCACACCTCCCCTACAGCTATGTGACCCCCATTGGGGGTGGACAAATAGCTCATAATGTATGTTGTATTGCAGTCAATGAATTACATGATATATCCAACACTGTATAATAAAATAGTCTAGTGTTAGATGATTTTGCCTGACTATAGGCTAACTTAAGTGTACTTTTAGGTGAGCACATATAAGGTGGTCTAGGCTAAGCTAGGATGCTCCATAGGTTAAGGGTATTGAATGCATTTTCTTTCTTTGGGGGCGGGGATGTGTACTGGGGATTAAACTCAGGGGCACTCAACCACTGAGCCACATCCCCAGCTCTATTTTATATTTTATTTAGACATAGGGTCTCGCTGAGTTGCTTAGTGCCTTGCTTTTGCTGAGGCTGATTTTGAACTCACAATCCTTCTGCCTCAGCCTACCAAGTGGCTGGGATGACAGGCATGCACCACCAGGTCTGGCTGAATGCGTTTTCAATTTGTGATATTTTCAATTTAGAATATGTTTATTGGGATGTAACTTTATGGTAAGTCAAAGAATATCTGTGCTCAATCAACCTTGGTTAGTATTAGTACTATTATAGACACTAACCATGGCACACCTACCATGTGCCAGGCCCTGAGCTAAACATATGATATTGATTAGATGATTTAATCCTGACCATTCACTACTTTTTGAGGTATTATGATCTCTATTTTACAAGTAAAGAAACTGAAGTTTAGAGAGATTAGGTAACTTGCCCAAGGTTCCACAGCTAGTAACATAGGATAGAGATGGTTTTCAGTTCCAGATCCATCAGACCTCCGAAGTGAGTTTTTCTGCTATTTCACTTTTTTTTCTGATGGCAAAGACATCCACCCGCTGAACAGGTTTTTGTTTTGATGTCTATATTTTCTGATAAAGACTGAGCTCCATGAGGACAAAGACTGTGTCCTGTCCATCTTTCTATACTCAACATACTGTCACGTCTAGGCCATGGAGGAAGGGAAGTGATAGTCCTGTTCCCCTGCCCTTGGTTCTCTGCAGATCAACAAGCTGACAGGCGAGGACACGGACCTGTACCGCTGCATAGCAGTGAACATGTATGGAGAGGCCACGTGCTCAGCAAGGCTCACTGTCATTGAAGGTGGGTTTGTCCCCAAAGCCACTCACACACTAAATCTGCATGCAAGTAAAATCTGTACTCTTGGCAGTAGACAGCCTGCTGTGGTTGCTCAGAAGGATTCCCTTTTGGTCCAATGGAACCAGGGCACGACCTGGAATTTGTTTTCTTTTTTTTTTTTTTTTTAATTTTTTATTGTTGGCTGTTCAAAACATTACATAGTACTTGATATATCATATTTCACAATTTGATTCAAGTGGGTTATGAGCTCCCATTTTTACCCCATATACAGATTGCAGAATCACATCAGTTACACATCCATTGATTTACATATTGCCATACTAGTGTCTGTTGTATTCTGCTGCCTTTCCTATCCTCTACTATCCCCCCTCCCCTCCCCTCCCCTCTTCTCTCTCTGCTCCCTCTACTGACATTCGTTTGTCCCCCTTATATTATTTTTCCCCTTCCCCTCACTTCCTCTTGTATGTACTTTTGTATAACTCTGAGGGTCTCCTTCCATTTCCATGCATTTTCCCTTCTCTCTCCCTTTCCCTCCCACCTCTCATCCCTGTTTAATGTTAATCTTCTTCTCATGCTCTTCGACCCTACTCTGTTCTTAGTTACTCTCCTTATATCAAAGAAGACATTTGGCATTTGTTTTTTAGGGATTGGCTAGCTTCACTTAGCATAATCTGCTCTAATGCCATCCATTTCCCTGTAAATTCTATGATTTTGTCATTTTTTAATGCAGAGTAATACTCCATTGTGTATAAATGCCACATTTTTTTTTATCCATTCATCCATTGAAGGGCATCTAGGTTGGTTCCACAGTCTTGCTATTGTGAATTGTGCTGCTATGAACATCGATGTAGCAGTGTCCCTGTAGCATGCTCTTTTTAGGTCTTTAGGGAATAGACCGAGAAGGGGAATAGCTGGGTCAAATGGTGGCTCCATTCCCAGCTTTCCAAGAAATCTCCATACTGCTTTCCAAATTGGCTGCACCAATTTGCAGTCCCACCAGCAATGTACAAGTGTACCCTTTTCCCCACATCCTCGCCAGCATTTGTTGTTGTTTGACTTCATAATGGCTGCCAATCTAACTGGAGTGAGATGGTATCTTAGGGTGGTTTTGATTTGCATTTCTCTGACTGCTAGAGATGGTGAGCATTTTTTCATGTACTTGTTGATTGATTGTATGTCCTCCTCTGAGAAGTGTCTGTTCAGGTCCTTGGCCCATTTGTTGATTGGGTTGGAATTTGTTTTCTAATCTGGGTCTTCTGCTCGTTCACTTCCTTTTTCTCTCTGGGTCTCAGTTTCTCCACTGTACAAAGGATGTTTTGTTCAGGCCTACATCAGGGGTGACCGGCAACCCAACGAGCAAATCCTATCTCAGACAGGTTTTGTTTGATGTGCATGGTGCTTGAATTTTTTTGAAATCAATTGTTCATTTGTAATAACTGGAAGGTAATTGAGAAAGCTGATCTAGTCTCTTGATGAATCGTGCTTACCATTGGTTGGCCTACAAGTACCAGAAATTCTTATTAAGAACAGCCCAAGAAATAAAGGTCATTACTTCACACAGTTAGAAGTCCTGAGATGGGAGTCCAGGGCTCACTGCACAGTGCAGCTGGAGAGCTGGATTCCTCTGTCTCACTGCTCTCCATCCCTAGCAGGTTGGTTTATCACCTTGTAGTCACAGATGGCTGCTGCAGGTCCACACTTAATCCATGTCCAAGTCAGGAAGAAGGGGGAAGAGGTGGTCCCAGGTACACCTGACTCTCTTATCAAGGAAGCAAAAGGTTTCTCAAGAACTCCTGAGTCTTTTGCTTCCATTTCATTGACCAGAATGGTGTCCTGTAGCCACACTGCTAGTTGCAAAGAAAGCTGGGAAGGCAAGTAAATACTTGCTAAATAGCTTTTCCAGCCTCTCCAATGGAAGCTGGTGAAGAGGCTGATGGATGACTATGGAGCAGTGTCTGACATTTGGCTATGGGGCCCATACCTTGAAATGGCAACTCTCAGACACAAACACCAGCTGTCCCTTTAGATGCCCAGTTTGCTGTTGTTGTCAGTGGTCACTTCACTCATTTATGCCACCTCCTTGACCATGTGGACATGTGAGCGAGCCTTCCCGTTGTGAGGAAGTACTCAGGCAGGCCTTCCCAGGTCAGGTTAAGGTTCTGGGGTGTCAAAGGTCATTCGAGATGGATCTCCACCTGCTCCATGCCTCGAGCTGGGATGTTTCTATGCTTTCGAGGACAGCAGGGTGGTCAGGGCTCTGGGACTGAGCAGTTTCTTAGGAAGACCATAAATGTCTCTTGCCTTTCTCTGCCTGTCTACACCGACGCCCTCCATTTCTCCCTGGATGGTCCAGTTGGCTTTCGGAAGAACCGGAAAAGGCAAAAGGAACCACAGGAGGGTAGGTGGATTTGGTAGAAATCTTCTTGGAGGTTTTGGGGACAGGCTGCTCCTTGCCCCATGTTCCCTATCTGCTCAAACCCTCATGCACACCTGTGGGTTATCACCAGTCCCCAGGAGAGCCTCTTCCAAAAGCTTGGTTGTCAGCCCTGGACCACATAGACAAGCCTAGCCCCTTGGCCTCTCACCTGGGAGTGGGGTCTCATCCTTTCTACTTTTCTAGACCTAAGGAAGGAGCTGATGGATTTCCGGAACATGCTGAAAAAGAGGTGGGTCTGGGCCTGCCCAGAGGGGATTCAGAAGCTCCCATGATACCCACCCCCTTCTCCCTTGTATCACAAGCTGGGCTCAGCCTCTGCCTTCACCCTCAGCAGGCAGCTAGACTGCTGCTACCAGGTGAGAGGCTAGAAAGAGCACTGCACTGGAAATTCTGGGTATAGCTTGGTCCTTGTCTACATCCTTGAGTTAGTCATCTCTCCTCGCTGGGTCCTAGCCTCCTCACTTGCAAAATGGGGTGGCCTACTAAAACTATAATTTTCTAAAATGTTTACAGCAAAAGAATGATTCTACCCCACCCTGACCCCACCCAAGGACATCTTACTCTGAAATCAACAATACAAGTAGTTAGAAGCCGAGTTTCCCTGAAAGCTAGAGCTACCGAGTGCGGCTCAGCCCTTCTGGGTCCTTCTAGCCCAGACAGCGATCAGTCTCAGAGATTTGAATCCCTTTGCTGTTTCCTCAAGTGCATGTAGGGAAGCTTCTCTGGACCTCTCTGAGTGCCAGCACCAGGTGGTCAACACCCACGGCTCCTCCAACCTCTGACCTGCTGCCTCTGCTCCCCAGGGCCCCTCCTCCAGCTCCAGAAAAAAAGATGGAGACTGAGCAGGTGTGGCAGCTGCTGATGACAGCAGACCGGAAGGACTACGAGAAGATCTGCATGAAGTATGGCATCGTTGACTTCCGGGGCATGCTGCGCAAACTGCAGGAGATGAAGAAAGAGCGGGAGGACAAGATGGCCCAGGTACCCTCACCCTGCCCCACTCTACACAGCTACAGCACAGGGGCCTGGAGGGGCCTCATGCCTGGAATTGGGCTTGGGAAACCCAATATTATCAAAGGCTTGCCTCTATCTGGTTCCCAATAAAGTATCCTGCTAAGGACCCGAGTTCCAAGCTGACACCCAGGCTGTAAAATCCGATACTTGCTAAACTGGAATTTTAAAAAAGTGAGGCCCTCTGTGACTTGGTGTCCTCATGGGAATCATAGTTATAACTACTGTCAAGGGCACAGCTCAGTTCTGCCATGGCAGTGGCATAGGTTGCTGAGAGACCAAAGAAAACACCCAGAGGCAGTACAGGGGGCTTAAGGCTTCCTTGAGAAATGCTTATGAGGGAAGGTCCAGTGGTATAGGCTGACAGAGAGCACTGCCATCCTTCAGGGTGCTTCTCCAAGCAGTGTCCCCTCCCCCTCATGATGTTTTGTCCAGTGGCAGCCTGCTGGACAAGTGACACCTATTCTTTCCACAATGTCCTCAGTCACCACTGAGGACACAGGTACAGTGTGTACACTGTACACTTTGTGTACACACTGTTTCCACAATGTACCAATCACACTGAGAGGCGGGGTTTATATAATAGGCTGCAAAAAAAGTGACATTATCAGCTTGAACTTGCTTACTTTGCTTGTGTGACCAGAATCATAAGGAGCACCTGTCCTGGTGTACGTGCAAGAGGTAGTTTTCTACAGATAACACAAACTTCCCCTAATTCCCAGCGTACATGAGAGAGAGTCAGTGTCCTAGTTTATCTAGCATTCCTGGCCCAGGCCTGCTCTTTCTTCCCTTGACTTGACCAGGTTCCTGGGAACTACAGGGGCATTTCAGGGACATGCTAAGATGTCCTCTTTTTCTTTAAGGATGATGCACCTACCTCATGGGGTTATTGAAAGGATGAAAATTTAAAGCAATTAGTCTAGTGCCTGGTGCATGGTAAAGGCCTAGTGTCAGCTGTCATCATCGTCACCAGACATGGGGAACCTGCCTTTTTAAAAAAGATTTCCAGGGAAGGGAATTTATCAGTTGCCATTAGCATTCTGATTCCAGCATCTTATAAACTCTGTAGAAAGTTTTTTCCTGCATCTAACTTAACTGTAGTATACGTCTAATTTTTCTTTTGTAAGTGGAAAACACATATTTTAGTTATCATGAAAATGGTATTTCATCACTTGGAAAATAGTATTTTACCACTTAAACGTCCCACCTGGGACTTCAACTTTCTCTCCTCCAAGCTTTCCCATCTGCTTTTACACAGGACTCAGCACAGAGATTTTCATGCAGCAGATGCTCAATGGATGTTGATTAGCTGGAAAAACAGATAATTGGAAAAGCGCTAGAATGTTTTTAGAGCACCTGAGCACCTTGTTTGCCTTTCTGACCTGATTTCTTGGAAATTTTCCTTCCTTGAGGACTTAAGTCTCCCCACTTAAAAAATGAGCAAATGCTTTCTCAACTGGGGCATTGTGGGCCAGGGATGGAATCAGGGATTATAAGGGTTGGAAGTGCTCCGAAGATTGAGTTCGAGACATTCTCCTGATTGATTTGTCTCCCCTTTAGTACATCAATGCCATCTCTAACTTGAGACACATCAAGGTCTCCAAGGATGGGGTCGCTTCATTTGCCCTGGAGCTGGATCTCAAGGACTTTGAGAGCAAGATTTACTTGTATAAGGTGAGGCTGGAGGGCCCATGGCAGAGGAAACTGGCAGAGATGTCACAGGTCCTGGGAAGGGAAACAATTGATCTCATAGGGCCCCTGTGGGAACCACCAGAGCACACAAGTGGTAAAACCCTCATCCCTTGGAGTTCCTGGTTAGGGTTAGGTCAAATCCTGGTGTCGACAGCCCACAGCCAGGCTCTCCACAGACACTCCTAGCTGTGTCTAATTCCACAGCAGGGGGTAAGCAGAGAGATCTGAGAGAGGGCACTCTTCTCCATCTGACCCCTGCCCCAGAGACTTGACACATCCCTACCGGGGCTCCAGAAGAAATAACCTATCAACGCACTAGAGGTTGGGGCGGAAGTGTGTGGTTTGGGGGGCATAACATTACTTCTGTAGCCAAATTCATTCCTGCTCCATCACATCACTCAGACAAGGTACATTTTATCTTCCTAGAGACTCAGTTTCCTAATTGGTGAAATGAGGGTGATACAGGACTGTCTTGTGCACAATGAAATGCCCCTCCCCCATCTCTCCCCCCCCCTCCTGCCCCTCTTCCCCCACTGCTGTGCCAGTCTGCTCTCTGGCCTAGTTCATTCCTTTGCTCCAGCTGCTCCCTGTGCCTGGTCTGCTCTTCCCCAACATCTATAGGCTAATTTCCTTCCCTGTAGGGACACCTCTCTTGACCCTAACCACCTCATGTACCCCCTAATGTTCCACCCAGTATCTTTTATTTTCCTCTGTTTTTCCTAGTTCTGTTTTATTTTTCCTAACACAAATAATTACTTATTTATACTGTTTATTATTTGTATCCTTCAGGATTTTAGCACCCTGAGGGCAGAAATCTTTTTTTCTTTTTTTTAATTGATGTGTCCCAAACATCATTGTGTGCTTGGCACACAATGGGCATCTGTTAAGTGCTATTATTAATATTCAGCAAATAGCAAATCTAGGGAAGGCTTAGTAAAAGGAGGTGTATGTATGTAAATTACTGGGTTTTATAGAGCCTTAAAGATGTTCCTTAATGTTCCCTTTGATGAATAGAGGCGTTCCCTGCCCTGGGGCCCCAAGTCTGCTGAATGCCTCCCCTGCTAACCATGGGGCTGTTTTGGTAGTAACTCTCCTCCCAGCCTGAGCTGGGTCAGCAGTCTAGTGCCTCTGCATCTTCTTGTCAATCTCCCTTCTGTGGTAAGGAGTGTAACATTCCTAGCCCGGTATTCCCATCTGCTTGTTTAATGCCCTCCAGGCCCACCATGCCCTTTATAGCTTCAGGACCAGGTTTTCTGTGGCCTGGGCCAGAAGGAGAAAACTGCTAGTTGTAGCCGAGTGGAGCAGGAGGTTCTGGGGACCTACCGAGTCCCTGAACCACCCCTCTTCCTTTTCTGGTGGCAGGATGGTGAGATGATCCCCTATGGCTTTGACAACCAGACCAAGCACTGTCTGCGGCGGCTGGGGAAGCGCTACCAATTCCAGATCCTGGACCTGCGGCCTGAGGACGCTGGCCTTTACCAGGTCAAGGTGGAGGATGCCGTGGTCTTCTCAACAGAACTGGAGGCCAGTGGTGAGTTGTCTACACTGCAGAAATTTGAATAGGGGACATCATTTAAGAATGGGCTTCATTTCAGGGTGTGTGGTGAGGGGATAGATGTGACAGGGCCTAATGCAAAGACAATTGGGGAGAGGGATGCAGAGTCAGGTACCTAAATGATGATGCTCAGCCTTGGTCCATGCTGTCCTCTATTGGTGCCGAGCTCGCTCTACCAAGTTACAGTCATGGACACAGAACAGACATGTCATGCCCCTAACTACAAACCTTCTACCACAGTTGATTATTTCCAGATCACACCCAAACTGATTTCACATCCTCTTGCCATAACTTTACTTCAGTGGGATGCATGTCCTCATCTCTCTCAATTCCCTAGCAAGAATCTCCACCTGGGGTAGGTGCCCTTGTGTCCTACATAGATCTCTTCTTTTCCTGCTTCCCATACCCCCACCCCCACAATCTGGGTGCTGCCCCACCTTCCTCATTAAACCTTGTTCCATACCTGCGAGGACTCGTGTCCCTGTCACTGCATAGCACCTAGCAGCTCTGGAGGGCTCTTGGAAGGACAAACAGGCCTGGGGAAGGAAGCTTTGGGTAGATAGACCATAAAGAACATGGCTGAACAAAGGCCAAGGAAAGAGAAGGAAGTGAGGCACCATTTCTGAAAACAGCCTCAGAGGATCCCAATCTAACTATATCCCCATATTTTATGTGTGTGGAGGACTGATTCCCTGGGTAAGGAAGTGACCCATCCAAGGTGTCATAGGAGTTTGTAGCCAAGCTGGTCTGAACCTGGGTTCTGAACTCCCAGCCTCTCTGTATCAGGTCACACCATGTCATGCTGCCAAGCTGACACTCCAATTCCTGTTTCCACTGCAGCCATCCCCCCCAGAGTGGTGGTCCCACTGGCCGAGGCCCACTGTGAAGAACATGGTGAGGCAGTCTTTGAATGTACTCTCTCCAACCCCTGTCCCAATGCTGCCTGGCATTTCAAGCACCGGCCCCTCCGACTCAGTGACAAATATGAAGTATCTGTGTCCCCTGATGGTCTGACCCACCGGCTGGTGGTGAGAGGGGCCCGGTTCTCAGACAGGGGCCTCTATTCGCTGGATACCGGGCTCCATGCTTCTAGCGCCTGGCTGGTGGTTGAAGGTGAGTGGTCATACCTCTGTCTTTCCCTGCCTCCACCAAGGCAAGGACTCATGGTCAGGGTCAGGGCAACAGGGTCAGGGTTTCCTTTGGTCAGTCATTTACTTTCGAATCATTCCCTCACTCACAATAAGGAGCTCCTTAGAGCTCTTCTTTTTAAAAATTGATTTGCCTAAAGCAACTGTTTTAGGTCCATCCCTCACCCACCATGTCTACTAATGCCAGATGTAGTCTATCCTGTGTCTGTGTGGGTGTGCGCATGCGTGCATGTTTCCCTACTGGGAATCAAACCCAGGCACATTTTACCACTGAGCTACATACATCCCCAGTCATTTTTATTTTGGGACAGTGTCTTGCTAAGTTTGCTTGGAGCCTTACCATGTTGCTAAGACTGTCTTCAAATTTGCAATCCTTCTGCCTCAGCCTCCTGAGTTGCTGGAATTATAGGCATGTGCCACCACACTGGGGGGGGGGGTACAATCTACTGCTTTATTTTTTCTTTTCCTTCTTCTTCCTCCTCCTTCACCTTTTTTTTGGGGGGGGGTGCTGGGGATGGAATCCATGGCCTCCTACACACTTAGTGAGCACTCTGCCACTGAGCCACCCGCACCCAGCCCTCCTTACATCCATTCTTGCTCCACTGCAATACAGTCTTCTCATGGCCATTCCTGTTCTCCTCCACGGCCTCTGTCCTACTGGCTCTCTTGGAACTACTCTGGGAACAGAGATCCAAAATGGCCCTAGGGCTCTGCATAGGGCTTGAAATATTGGGCCAGGTTCAGTGTAGATAAGGAGACTCCAGGCCAGGCCAGAAAGAACTCTTATATCTCCCTTGGAACTGGAATCTGCAAACTTATAAATCAGACAGATGTAAGGCAGGAGATAGGCAAGGGAATCTTTTAAATATCATGCAACTTCTTCTGGCAGTTTGATAAGCAAATGACTTTGGCTTATGTACTTATGTGTCAAAATCCTCATGAAGCATGTGGAGTGGAATGTGGGTACAGGGTGGGGGAAATGGAGATGGGATTTAGCCACCAATCTCTGGAACATCTTGGCTTCCTTCTTAGATGGGCAGCTTATTTTCTACTGGGGAAACTGAAAGTCAGGCAAAAGAGTTGTGTCAGGCAGGTGCTTTGGTCTGATTTAACAGAAGTTTTGGTCTTTCCTCTTGTCTCTCTATGGGCCCATTGACCTCCCATGTGCATAATATCTCACAGAAGCTGGGAAGGATAAAGGCCTGCAGACCACAAGTGCTGACCACCAGCTGCAGACACCAGGAGCTCAAGCCTCAGATGCAGAAGACTCCAGGGACATCAGTGGCCAGGGAGGGAAGCCCAGGGAACTGGGCACCAAGGGTGACTTCCTAGAAGGGGCAGGGCCTGCTTCTGGGCTCCAGCTCACAGCAGGCCCAGACAGGGATGGCCTTGGTAGGCAGGGCTACTCCTTGATGGGGGATGAAGGGACAGGTGACTCAGCCTGGGGCCCTGGACAGGACAGGAAGGGCTTTCTAGAATCAGGGGAAGGCAGAGTCACTCTTCTCAGGGACAATCAGCCCCATTTAGAGGGAGACGGGGGCGGAAGCTTTCCAGGGAGATCTCATCTACAGGGAGAAGGCCCAGAATCAGGGTTGGACTTCATGGAAAGACAACTTGAAGGTCATGGCAGAGATGGTGATGGGGACAGAAACTGGAGAACAGCAGGAGGCTGGGAGGCTGGGTCCACTCACTCTCAGGCTGGAGGACTGGGGAGCATCAGGGGAGGAAAGGAGCCCAGAGAGGTCAATGGCAGTCAGCTGGACATTTATGGCCAAGAACAACTCTGGGATACTCATCAGGGACCTGGAACAGGAAAGAAGGCCCTGTGGGGACCCCAGTCTGATCATGAGGGGTCTTGGCTAAAAGGGGAAGGAAGGGAGAAAATTTTGGCTGGAGATCACCTGGATGAGATGGAGGGAGGAGATGGTTTGAGTAGGGAAAGGGGGACAGCAGCAGCCAGGGCAGCGTGGGCTGGCAGAACTGGCTTGGGGAATGCTGGAGACAATGGGACAGGAGGCCCTGGTGCCCTAGAATTTCCTGGAGGAAGAAGTTTTAGCTCCAAGGCAGGCATGGGCCCTGAATCTTGGGGCTCCCAGGGAAGTGGAGATGCTGACCATCAGGAAGCTGGGGGCTATTGGGAGTCAGGGGAGTATCCAGGAAAGATATTTGGAGGCAAGCACCCCCAAGAACCTTCACTACCTGGAGGCAGAAAATCTATTCTGGGGGGCAGGAGTCCTGAGGCCAAAGCTGAGGGCTCACTACGGGAGGCAGGTGATCTAAGGCCAGGGAGGACTGGGGATGTGGGAAGGAGCTACCGAACTGGCCCTGGAGGCCCAGGAGATCTTGGAGACTGGACAAGTGGCCAACATGAACTTCAGGGAAGGGGTGGCCAGTTCACAGATGGGGCCTTGAGCAGGGCAGGGGATGGCTCCAGAAGCTCCCAGTCTCCCCATAGCCGGACAGAAGGGCAGAAGGAAGCAGGGGACCCCAGCAGAACACAGTCTGAGGGCACAGGTTTCTGGGATGACACAGGGTCCAGTCTCAGAAAGACTGGGACCCACCTTGGACCTAAAGTAGGGGGGTCCAGTGGAGGGGAAAAGGGTATGGTTGGTGCCCAGGGAGCTGGGCCAATGGAGTCTGGTCAGGGGATAGATGGCAGAAGCCACAGGTTACTTAGGTCTCCAGGCCTGGGTATGTCGAAGTCTGGGGGAACACAAGGAGATGCAGAAGGATTAAGAAATCCCAGAGCAATAGGGCCTGAATCCGAATTCTGGAATGGATCAGGTAGCTCCGGAGAAAAAGGAGCCAGAGGTGAGATGGGCTATAAGTATGGCCCAGGAGGTAGCAGGGGAGAGGAATCTAGGAATGGGGATGGCTCAGGGTATTTTAAGGGAATAGATCCTGGAAATAGGGCTGCTTATAGAGATGGCTCAAAAGTGCCAGGAGAAATGGGGTCTGCTCCTGGTGATGGTTTTAGAGTCACCTCTGGAGCGCCTGTGAGAACAGAGTCTGAGGAAGGGGGTACTTACAGGCATGGCTCAGGGGAATCTGGGGGGATGTGGACTGGAAATAAAGATCATCATGGTCCTATAGGATATGGGTCTGGGAGCAGTGTTGGTCTTAGGAATGGCTCAGGTGGCCCTGATGGAATGCTCATTGATGAAGACCAGAAATGGGGTACACCCGAGGGCCAGGGGCAAATAGGCTCTGCAGGAGGGTACTGTCCTGATGGTAGCTTAGGGAGTCCTGGAACAGTGGGGCCTGTGGGTAGAGGTGGCCCCAAGGCCCCTGGAACAGTGCATGCTATTGGGGAGGGATATGCAGAAGCAGAACCAGGGGGGTCTGGAACAATAAGGCCTTGGGGTCAGACTAGAGATTTGGGGGGCTTCAGAGCCTCAGGGGCCCTGGGGACCTTTGGAGAAGGGAGTTTTGAAGATGGGACAGGGGGTCCAGGAGCCATGGAGCCAGGGTCTCTGAGGGCAGGGGGAAAAGAGGGTGATGGAGATAGGACTAGGTGCCTTGGTGCCAGGGCCTCTGGAACTGGAACAGGGTTTGGGGACAATACCAGGCATCCTGAGACATTAGCTTCTCATGCTGGGGCTGGTTCTAAGAGCCTATGGGCTCATGGGCCTGGTGATGTGTTGGGTTATGGGGATGGGTCTAAAATTCCCAAGTCTCAGGGGATTGGGAGCAGAACAGCTTATGGAGTAGGGCCAAAGGATCTTGGTCCTGGAAGAATAGGGCCAGGGGATGAGGCAGATTTTGGAGATGGCTTAGGAGGCCTCAGAGGAATGGCAGCAGCAGATAAGGCAGGATATAGGGGTGGTGTTGGAGGTGCTGGGGATATGGGGTCAGGGGGTGAGGCAGGTTATAGAAGTGGTATTAGAGGTTCTGAGGATAAGGGGTTGGAGGGTGAAGCAGGTTATAGGGGTGGTATTGGAGGTTCTGGGGACATGGGGTCAAGAGGTGAGGCAGGTTATAGGAATGGTATTAGAGGTTCTGGAGCTAAGGGGTTAGGGGATGAGACAGGTTATAGGACTGGTATTGGAGGTTCTGGGGGTATGGGGTCAGGGGGTGAGGTAGGTTATAGGGGTGATATTGGGGACATGGGATCAGAGGAAAAGGCAGGTTATAGGGGTGGTATTGGAGATCCTGGAGATATGAGGTCAGGGGGTGAGGCAGGTTATAGAAGTGGTGTTAGAGGTTCTGGGTATAAGGGGTTGGGCGATAAAGCAGGTAATAGGAATGATATTAGAAGTTCTGGAGATAAGGGGTCAGAGGGTGAGGCAGGTTATAGGGGTGGTATTGGAGGTCGTGGGGACATGGGGTCAGGGAGTGAGGCAGGTTATAGGGGTTGTATTGGAGGTCCTGGGGACATGGGGTCAGGGAGTGAGGCAGGTTATAGGGGTGGTATTGGAGGTCCTGGGGACATAGGGTCAGAGGGTAAAGCAGGTTATAGGGGTGGTATTGGAGGTCCTGGGGATATGGGTTCAGGGGGTGAGGCAGGTTATAGGGGTGGTATTGGAGGTCCTGGGGATATGGGGTCAGGGGGTGAGGCAGGTTATAGGGGTGGTATTGGAGGTCCTGGGGACATAGGGTCAGAGGGTAAAGCAGGTTATAGGGGTGGTATTGGAGGTCCTGGGGATATGGGTTCAGGGGGTGAGGCAGGTTATAGGGGTGGTATTGGAGGTCCTGGGGACATGGGGTCAGGGGGTAAAGCAGGTTACAGAGGTGGTACTGGAGGTCCTGGGGACATGAGGGCAGGGAGCAAGGCAGGTTGTAGGGGCAATTTGGAACATTCTGGGGATGCTTTGCAATGGAGTGAGGCAGGTTTTAGGGATGGTGTAAGGGGAGCTGGAAGAATGGGGTCAGGGGATGAGGTTGGTTTTAGAGGAAGCTCAGGAGGATCGGGGGCAATGGGGCCTGAGGGCAAGATGCACTATGGAGAAGGTTCTGGGAAGTTTGGAACACCAGGCTCACTGATGGGAATGAGACACGATGCAGGACCCAGAGACCACAAAGCCATGGGGGAGGGGGTAGGATACGGGGTAGCATCAGAAGGTGGCACAGGCTCCTATGATGGTCCAGAAAAGGGCAGAGGAATGGGGCGTGCACATGGTGAAGGTCCTGGGATAGCTGGAATGCTGGGGACTGCAGATGATGCTGCACACAGGGACAGCCTCAGGAGCCCAGGGATGCTGGGGTCACAGGAAGTGCCACAGACTCTTTCAGATGGAAGGGGCTCCAAGACCAGTCTTGGGGGCTATGGAACCTCAGGGATTCCTACAGCCTCGGGGGCTGTTTGTTCCAAAGGAAAATCAAGTGTTGGAGAGTGGCAAGATGGTTCTGGGATTCCAGAGTCTCCTAGGGACAGAGGAGCTCCTAGGGGGGAGGGTGAGTCTCCAGGCCAAGCAGGGGGTTTGGGGGCTTTTAGGTTTCTTGATGGTAGGAAGGCAGTAGAAGGTGAGACCTGGGCAGGGACAGCTGCTCTGGAGTCTGGACATGAACAGGACTTAAGGAAAGCAGGGTCAGGGACCATGGACAAGGGCAGAATGGCTGGCCCATGGGGAGAGGCACCCCAGGGAGGGAGGGACTCACTACCAGGAGGCAGAAGGATGGGAGCAGGTTCTGGTAGCCCAGCCTGGCAAGATCAGGAGTTTGGCCAAAGCAGCACACATGCTGGGAACTGCATCCCAGGCTCTGTGGCCCATGGTTCTCGGCAGGAGAAAGATTCCACTTTCAGGGGAACCCATGAGGGGCCAGGGGACTCTAGAGGCAGGGAACATGCACCAGGTTACGGGGCTGCTGGTGGACATCAAGGCCCATGGTCCCCGGAAAGCAAAGGTTCAATCTCTAGAAGGGGCAGGTCTGGTGGTACAGAGGACTCAGGTGGCCTAGGCACAGGGAATTCCACAGAGTGGGAGGATGGTCTCGCCCCCAAACCTGGGGAGTCCAGACTGCAGGGATCCAGGAATGGCTCAGACGATTCCTTTGGCAGAAAAGGCTCTGGAGGTAGATCAGGGAGGATCCAGGGCCCAGGCTCTCAATTAGGGCAAGGACAGGGAGGAGGAAGGGGGTCTCTTGGGGAGCAGGGGTTTTTGGAGGCTGAGAATGACAAAGCCCAAAGTCCCAGGACCCTAAAGGAGTATGAAAAATGGGAGGCAGGAGAGTCTGGCAGGTCAGGCAGGAGGCCAGGTCCCCGCTGGAGCAGGTATCAGGCACAGTCTGGGGTTGAGGCAGCGAAGAGAGGGGGCACAGAGGAGGCCAGAGGCCGGAGGCAGCTACCTGGCAGTGATAATGGAGAGCACCTGGGGGAGACTCAGAGTGGAGATGTGAGCCAGGGCACCCCCAGACATCTTGGCAGAAGGAAAAGTGCCAAAGACTGCAGGTTGGACATCCTTGATGAGGGGCAGAGTTCCAGGTCTGGATACAAGTCCGGCACTGGCAGTTTCTCCCCGACGGCCCGAGGTAGGTATTCCTGGCTGGGCTATTGGGGGTGGGGTGCAGCAAAGGAGAAGTGTCCTGAACACTGAGATGCCTGGGCCATTCCCATCCGTGCCAGCACCCCCATTTTCAGGAGCCTCTTGCAAATTCAGTAAACAACTACTTCCTCTTTGTGTAGACTGATTCCAGGCTGTGTGAGACTCAGAGGCCCCCTGGGCACCTGGTCCTAAAATCCTATGACAGAAATACCAGAGTTGTGAAGCAGGCCAGAGATCCCCCTTCCCCCAGAAGACCCTGGGGACTTCTTATCTGTGTGACTCAGGGGCCCCTCTACCAGCCTAGGTCCTGCTGAGAAAAGTGGAGGCTTGTCTGTGCTGACACTGGGGGATCCCAGTGGGCAGGACCGTGGTGGCCATCCCCAGGGTGCAGCGCAGGCTATGACCTGGGAGGCTGGGCCTTGAGGACTCCTTTGTGTATCTCCAGGCCCCAGGGGCTACTTCTCTCAGGGCTTGGCTGACACAGAGGTGCAGCAGGGGAAGGCCGCCACGCTTTCCTGTACCCTCACCAGGGACCTGGGACCTGGTGCCTGGTTTAAGGATGGAGTCAAGGTATTGTCCCCTCACACTTTCTTTTTACCAACCAATGTGGGTGCCTGTGGGGGTGGGGGCAGGGACAAAGCAGAGGGATAGAGGATAGAAGGTTGGCTAAAAAAATTGTTTATTACTCTTATTTTACTTATGTACCCACTTTGAGAGAAGCTTAAATAGCCAGAAACTTGGTGTGTTTAAAATTAAAAAAAAATCATAAATGAATGTGGTGCCAGCCAATCCCGTGGCATACCCCTTGTTCTTCCACCTCCCCCAATGTCTTCTCTACACCTGCACCTGCCAAGGTCCACCCACCCTCCAAGGCATCATACAAATGCACCTTCCCATCCCAACCAGGGGCCTCTTTCGTCAGTCTTGCAGCTCCTCTGTGCTCCCTCATAGCTCTCACGTCAGGAGGAGATAGCATAGGGGTTCAGAGCACATGGCATCCGGGAGATCTGATTCCAGATCTCCAGTTATGCGACTTTGGACAAGTTCCTTGCCTATAAAATGGAACTATCAATACTACCTTTTTTTTTTTTTTTTTGTACTGGAGATTTAACACAGAAGGGATGTTACCACTGAGCCACATCCCCAGCCCTTTTAGTTTTTGAGACAATTTAGCAATTAAGTTGCTTAGGGCCTTGCTAACTTGCTAAGACTCAACTCAAACTTGTGATCCTCTTGCCTCAGCCTCCCAAGTCGCTGGGATTACAGGCATGCGCCACTGAGCCCTGCTACCTATCTGATAAGGTTGTTGTCACAGTTAAATGAGGTAGGAAGCAAGGAGTGCCTGTGCAGGCACAAAGCTATCAGATCCCATAGCAACTGCACCAGCAGAGGGCGCTGGAGGTGCCAGGTGCGCTTGGGAGTGACTGTCTCTTGCTTTGGCCCTTGTCTCCAGCTCACCGCCCAGGATGGGGTTGTCTTTGAGCAAGAAGGCCTGGTGCACAGACTCCTTATCGACTGCGTGCAGGGCACCCAGGCTGGGAGGTACACCTTTGTGGCCGGCAACCAGCAGAGTGAGGCCACCCTGACCGTCCAGGGTGAGGTCCAGCCCTGTCCTTACCTGTCTGGCAGTCTCTGCAAAAGTAGATAAGCTTTACTTAGAAACCCCTTAATTTTTTTGTAACCAGTCTTCAGCTTTTCAAACTGAGAAGATGACTTATAAAACCAACCCAAGCTCCTCCCCTTCCAGTGTCTTATCTCCTTCCTTGCTAGGAAGTCCTTGGTGAGGTCTAACCCTGGTCCCTCCTGCTTTAAAGTCCATTTCCCTTATATGTCCTCATGAGGTGGGGTGTGGGGTTTCTTACTCTTAGCCCAATCTCCCTCTGGATTCTTCTTTCAATGTTCCCAGGGACTTGGTGCCTGTCTTCTTTGACTCCCTTGTCCTGTTTTTCCTCTAGATCCCCCCGTAATTGCTCCAGATGTGACAGAGAAACTGAGAAAGCCACTGGTGGTCAAGGCTGGGAAGCCGGTGACAATGAAGATTCCCTTCCAGAGCCACTTCCCTGTTCAGGCCACCTGGAGGAAGGACGGGGCCGAGGTGGTGGGCAGCAGCCACAGGGGGGCCCAGGTGGCCTTGGGGGATGGCTACACACGACTGTGCCTTCCCAGCGCGAGCAGGAAGGACGGTGGCCAGTACAACGTGATGCTAAGGAGCGAGGGAGGCTCTGTGCAGGCTGAGCTCACCCTGCAAGTCATAGGTGCCAACCCCAGCCTTCGCCCCATCCGAGGCCTGAGGGTCCCGGGGATTCCAGGTCCTCCCTGACAGTAGGGGCAGGTCTGGGGTGCAGTCTCTGTGGGCTCTTTTGCATGCTGTTTTGCATCCAAAGCCACCCCTGTCTGTCCTCTGTCTGCTCCCTATACTGAGCAGGAAGATGCAGTTTGGATGAACAAGGCCCAGGCTCCTGCTGGGAGATGTGGTTATTCTCCCACGAGCCCCAATGCACAGGGTGCTAGGGAAGTTGCTGGAGTGAGATTGAGGCCCCCAGCTTCAGTGGTGCCAACAACATAGGACTGCTGTGTCCAGGAGGCTGAGCTGGTCCCATGCGCCCACCCAATGGGGCTAGTATGGGTTAAAGCATTCCATGGTACATCTGTGTGTGTGTGTGTGTGTGTGTGTGTGTGTTGGGGAAATAGAGACCAGGGACATCTGTCTGTCTCAGGAAACCTGTGAACCTCTGGGTAATGTCCAAGGCTCTCTGGGTAGTCCACCCCATTGCAGGCTTGCCCACTGCTGAGGGAAGGCCAACATGGCTTCTTTCCAACTTCTCTGACCCCTTTCTCCTCCTGCTCCTCTCCGTGGATCCTCAGACAAGCCTCAGCCCCCACAGGGCCCCTTGGAGGTGCAGGATGGCCACAGGGCTGGTGTCTGCCTCCGCTGGCAGCCCCCGAAGGATGATGGGGGCCGGGCCGTGGAGCACTACGTGGTGGAGAGGCGACAGGCTGGCAGGAGCACTTGGCTGAAGGTGGGCGAACCCCCCACTGACAGCACTACCTTCACCGATGCCGGCGTGGAGCAGGGCAGAAAGTACACTTTCCGTGTGCGAGCTGTGACCTCGGAGGGGGCTGGGGAGGCCCTGGAGTCTGAGGAGGTGTTGGTGGCTCCTGACGGTGAGAGAAAGGGCTGGGGCTGGTGGTTGGAACACTCTTAGATCCACATTGGGCCAGAGGGCAAGCAGGTCTGCCCCTGCAGCTAAAGGACACTGGCTTCTGCCTGGGGCCTTGAAGTCCTTCTAAAGCCCAATGGAGACTCCTTGCCTCAGCTTGATTTGGGATCTGGCAACCAGGACAGGAAATAAGATTGATGGTGTCTATGGGAGTGAAGGGACCAGCACACAGCCTGCTCTCTCAGGGCCCGAGTAGAGGCCAGCATCTTTCTCTATCATATCCTCCTAGTTTGGGATATCCTAACAGGGGACTTAAGGCTGAAAGATTTTGAACCTATCATGCCTGCATCTGAACAGTGTCCCAGAGCAGTCTAGCCAATTCCTACAGTCCCAGGAAAGAGTAGGGTGCCAGATGTTCCGTGCCTTCTACCTCAGAATCTCCTCATGAGCCTTAGCCTCTGGCTGACCTTCACCTTCTTTGCTGCCAGCAATCCCAGGGCCCCCTTCCACCCCGGCCATTCTATCGGCCTCCAGCCAGGGCATCACTCTCACATGGACAGCACCTCGGGGCCCTGGCAGTGCCCACATCCTGGGTTACCTGGTTGAGAAGCGCAAGAAGGGGAGCAACACCTGGACAGCAGTGAACGATCAGCCCATGTCTGGTGAGCAGGCCTGAGGGATGCTTCTCATTGCCCTGGCTCCAAGTTGCTTAGACTTCCTCTTGGCATAGGAGCGTTGCCAGTCCAAATTGGTTTAATAGAATAGGTCTCATCCGGGATGATTTTGTGTCGAGGGGACATTGGCAATATGTGGAGCCATTTTTGATTGTCACAACTGGGTGGGGAGTAGATGATACCGGTACCTGATATGAAGGAGCCAGGGTTCTGCTGACTATCCTACAATACACAAGAGCTCCCCTACTCCCAACAAAACCAAAGAATTATCTGGCAAGAAACATCAACAGTGCTGAGGTTGAATAACCCTGGTTTACAGAAGTCCTGGGTTGGAGCCAGAGATGAAGGTGTGAGTCCTGGGCCCCCTACTTCTGACCTTGTCTTTGGTTAGCCCTCTTCTTCTCTAGATCTATTTCCTCATCCACAAGTAGAGAGAAGAGAACAATCCTCATGGTTCTGTCCCATTAAGTAGATTCCTAAGAACCAGCTGCTTTCTGAGATCAGAAAGAACTTGAAAAAGCCAAAGCGTTGGGCAGATGCTAAGGTATCCCATGACCCTTTGCATTTCTGTGTTTTGCATGCTGTGGAAGCCAGGTTTGTGGAGGAGAGAAGGGACCAGAGCAGACAGTCAGGAGACTGGCTTCTAGTTGTGGCTGAGCTACTTAGGAGCAGAACCCTCTCAGGGCCTTATAATTCCACCTCCAGAAAGACGGAGATGAAGGGAGGGCACCACCCTCCCAACTCCACTACTGATTCAACTTCATTTAAATGAACAGCTCTGTAAGGTAGCACAATCTGGAGAGATTAAGGCACTTCAGCAAATTGGTGGCAGAACCAGATAGGGATTTGGGACCCCAGCATCTTTTCGCCTTGGAGAGAACTGAGTCACACGTGGATGGCCAAAGAAGGGAAGTATTAGGGCCCAGCCTTGTTCTCCTTTGAACTTGGAAGCACCAAGATGTCTGTTCATCTCCTGGTCCCCCAGTGTGGGATTAATGTAGGGTGTCTCTTCACAGAGAGGAAGTGCACTGTGGAAGATGTGCGGCAGGGCTGTCAGTATGAGTTCCGGGTCACAGCAGTGGCCCCCTCAGGCCTTGGAGAGCCTGGGCCCCCATCTGATGCTGTCTTTGCCCAAGACCCCATGAGTGAGTAGGATGTCAACCCAAGGGGTGGTGGTGGGATGGGTGGTGAGCATGGGATGGTTCTGAAGCCCAGTGGGACAGGACAGGAGGTCACAGGTAGGAGAAAGTGGCCAGGAGGGCTGGAAGATACAGGTTAAAAGGCCACTGGGATGAGGCATATCTTAGGGGCCCTCTACTGAAATCAATCAGAATTAGAAGACTCCTTCCTGACCATGTCACTTGCTCTCTGGCTTCTGGGCAGGTCAGTCCCAAAGTTGGCCAGGCAGCAGTCTATTTGAATGAATACACTGGGAATAGAATATTTTATAAATTTAATTGTTCAAAGGGGCATCTAAATTTCAGTCCTAGGAAGGGCAAAGTGTGGAATGGAGGGATGAGGGAGGAGAACTGGCTGTGCACCTTTTCTTGTCAAGGAAAATCTCTCTTGACTACTCTATAATCAGTGATGAAAATGGAGATAGCAAATAGGATAGGCAGTGTTGGGGTAGTAGTCACAAGGGTGACTACATTCCCTAGATTTTTTTGAGGGGGGTTGCTGGGATTGTACCCAGGGCCTCACACATACTGGACCAGTGCTCTACCACTGAGCTACACCCTCGCCCTATGTTTCTTAGATTCTTGCTACTGAGCAAAGTCTGGGCAGCATCACCAGGGAACTTATTAGAGTTCGCTCAGCCTCACCTCCAACCTACTGAATCAGATCTGTGTTTTTAACAACATTCCCTGGTGATTTGTATACAGAAAGCACTGCCCTAGACCAACACTTTCCAAACTTCACTGGGAATTTATTTAGAGACACCCGGGAGCTCTTCCTGCCCTGTTGCTCAGGATGCACCCAAATCAGAATCTCTGGGGCTGCCCATATTTTTAAGCTCCCGGGTGGGTCCAACATTCAGCACTCTCCAAAGCCCTTCTACATGTACCCTGGCTTTCCTGTGTTCCAGACAGCCCCCTTCTGGGGTAGGGAGTGCTGTTATTGTTTCTGTTTAACAGATGTGTCTGCTCTGCGTGCCCAGAGGCAGTTCTAACTCAGCGCTTACAGTTCAGAAAAAAAGACACAGAGTTCTAGTCTTCAGGGATAAAGGATCCTAAGAGGTCATCCACTAAAGTCCCCATTTTCAAGAATTAGAGAGGGTGGTCAGGTACTGGACAGAGGCAGAGTTTGGTTCAGGTAGGTGCTTCAGGGGCCACGAAGTGAAAGGACCCCAAGAGAAAGAAACTGTCTCCCATGGGAAGGCTAATCAATGTCCACCTGAGTGACCTCCACCAAGAGAGGCTGATGCCATTTCTGATATTTCCACTGTGCTTGACCAGGACCCCCTGGGCCTGTGCGGGATCTTCAGGTCACGGACACATCACACACCAGCATCACCCTGAGCTGGGTGGGGCCAGATGCCCAGGATGGGGACAAAGCTCAGGGATATGTGGTGGAGCTGTGTGGCTCAGACAGTCTCCAGTGGAGCCCATGCCACGTGGGCACTGTGCCTGGGACCTCCTTCACAGTCAAGGGGCTTCGGCCTCGAGAGGGCTACTTTGTGCGGGTGACAGCAGTTAATGACGGGGGCCACAGCCAGCCCACTGCCCTGGACACCATAGTGCACACCGTGCCTGTTACTGGTGAGTACCACCTCTTTCCCACACTGAGCCCTGCAGGCCCTTCCTGAGAGGGGGCTGCCGAGCAGCCACCATGCACGTGCTGAGCCAGGATCCCCTTCCCCAGCCTAACAAAGTAACATGTGTTGACACTTCCCATGTGCAAGGTGCTGGGCCGGGCAGGCCTAGTTGGAAATGGTTTCTCATTGCAGCTCATTACAAAGTTGATATTATTTTTATGCCCAATATACAGAGAAGGAAACTGAGATCCCAGGTCCTTTTCCCAATGTCTCACCCTTGGTGTGAGGCAGAGCCGGGATTTGAAACAGGTGACTCCAAGGCACAAGGGCCGCTCAGCTCAGGCAGTTCCTGGTCAGGGTGGAGCATGCCCCAGACCCCGTTACCAAAAGGCAGACTGTCTTTCCCTTTGGGTCTTAGTTACTAGAACCAGCTGACCTGTCTTTGACCCAAGTTGACACTGGGCCAGCCCAGCCGACCCTAGTCATCATGTGAAAGGAGAAAAGCACACAGCACCGGAGTCCAAAATCTCAGAATCTTGTCCTGGCTCTGTTCCTAACTCAGTGTGACCCCGGGCAAGTCACCTCCTGTCTTAGATTGGTGGTTATGTCACCTGCAGAACCAAAAAGATGGACTGTTTGTCACTTCCTTCTTCCAGGCTAACCCTAACCCTCTGCCTTCCCTACCCCAACTCCTGTCCCTCTCCTCCAGCATGTCCCCACCACTCCTGGGGCTCCCCTCCCCACTTTCTTCTGCCCAGTGCCTCTCCTGTGAGGTTCTTCCGCTGGATGGGATTTTAGCAGCAATTAGACTGGCCTGGCCTCCCCTTCTGCTCTGCTGCGTTGGTGACCGGGGGCTGGGGTCCAACCGTGGAGGGAGGTGACGAGCCACTTTATGTGTTCCAGGCTGCCCCAAATTCCTCATGGACTCCAATGCAAAGGACTCAGTGATGGTCAGAGTTGGGGACACCATTCGTGTGCCTGTCTCCTTTGAAGTGAGTGGGTCTCGAAGGTGTGGGGAAGGGAATCCAGAGTGGCCGAGGGAGACAGAGAGCTCTGTGGTTCTCTTGCCTTCGTTGTTGTTGTTGTTGTTGTTGTTGTTGTTTTGGGGGGTGGGGGTCTGTAGTCAGTGAAGTCAGGCCACAGGTGAGGAAGGCGGGAGGAGGGTCCTCTTTAGTGGCATAGCACATCCCTGGTGGCTGGGTGGCCTTTCTGCTCCCTGTACAGTATACACAACCCTCTAATGGTACCTTCTGGTACTGCACCTCCAAATTAGGGCTCTCACTTTTCCTCACCACTTTCGTCTGCGAATTCAGAGGGTCTCAGGATGATCCTCCACCGATGCTAACACCTCCCGGCTCTAGGGACACCATAGCACTAGCATAGTGATTAAAAGCATAGATTGCCTGGGTTCAAATTCCAATGTCATCACTGACTTTGGACAAATACCTTAACCTCTCTGTTTCAACTTCCTCCTCTTTCAATGGAGATAAATATAACCTAACTGAAAGGGTTGTTTTCAGAAGGAATCAATCCCCTGAAAGCACATGAACAGCCTGGTGTATGGCCAGCATTCAATATGTGTTACTTTTATTATTATCATATTTATTGTTATCAAAATCATTATTACCTGTGTGGGAGGCTCAGCAGTGGCAGAACCATAATGCATCTCTGCCTTAATCTAAATGACATGTTTTTAGCTATTAGACACTGGAGGACAATGGCAGCGATGACATGTTAAACATGTACTGAGTGTTCTCTACATTCTCAGCCCTGCTCTCTGTGCGTTCCAAGTATTGGTAACTCCTTGAGTCCTTGGATTGTTAGTCCAGGTGCTAACAATCAGTTACTGTTAGCTTCCCCAGTGTGCCTGCCACTGAGGTTCCCACAGGCGGTTGGCAGTATGGTCATCAAGCAGCTGGACTGGTCTCCCAGTCAGTCAGGGTCACCTCAGTTCTAGACCAGACCACGATAATCGCCCTCCTGCATTCTCTGCCTATCACAGGGATTACCAAGTCACCCCCTGCCTGGTCCTTCTCACTCCCATCCAGCACCAGGTGAATCCAGATTCAGTGATGTTTTCTTGCTCAACGTCTTAGAGCAGCAGCTCAGTGCTTAGAGAATAAGACCTGGATGTCTGCATGGGCGGGGTGCTAGGGTATTGCCTGGCCTGCCTGGCCAGCTTCCTTTCCTATTCCACCACCCCCACCTGCCAGCCCCACACTACATCACCGCCTCTCTACTGGCCTGCTTCTGAACAGGCACTTGCCCACCTCTGAGTTTGCGCAGACGTTTCCCCTCCCAGAATGCTCTTCTCACCACCTCTACTCTAGGCCCAGCCTGAATAGCTCCACTTCCACACCACCACCAAAGCTCCCACTTCTCAACCCTTCCTTCCTCTCATTTTCCTCCAGGCTGGCCCCATGCCTGAGGTGACCTGGCTGAAGGATGGCTTGACTTTGTCCAAGAGAAGTGTGACCACCACCAAGGATGGCCTAACCCAGCTTCTGATTCCTACAGCTGGCCTCTCAGACAGTGGTCGCTACACTGTGGTGCTGAGGAACCTTCAGGGGAAGGAGGCTGCCTACGACTTCCTCATCAGGGTGGCAGGTGAGGCGGCATGGCTCTGGGCTCCAAGCACTGTCTGGGCCACTCACCGAGGCATGGAGGTTTCCCCTGCCTGGGCACAGGTCTCAGCCATTCTACTGGCCTGTGTGTGCAAGGTGGCACACTGTCTTCTTTTCCTCCGTGCTTGAAGACAGGAAGAAGGGCAGGGGGAGGGTCCCTTATGGGCTTTAATTATTCTTCTGACTCAGGACCTTAGGGACAATTCAGCCACATCCCCTCCCTAGACCCCAGTTAGTCTTGATTTGGAGCCCATGAGCAACGGTGGTCACCACCATTACAGCACTGGAAAGACCCCATGGAAAGAAGTGTCTGGGTCCCTTGTACAGGATAAAGGTTGCCCTCCCCTGAAGTAACTCCCAGGCAGCCCTTACCCTGGAGAAGTCTCTGGATATTCAGACAAGATGAAACAGAGGAATGGAGGGAGTCTGTACCTTGATTTTGTGAAAACCTCTGTCCATGTCCTATGTCATTTTCCCTAAAAACTCGGGTGAATTAAAACGTATTCTTTTGGGAAAGGTTTCCTACCCTCTACAGATAACTGTGCACCCCTGACCAAGTGCCCTCCAGTTACCTGCCTTCCAAGATTGCAACCCCCAGAAGACTCAGGGGCTCTGGAGGGGACCATACCAGAAGCCCTGCTGGGTCCCCTGCAGTGCATGCTCCCTCTACCCTATCTCCTGCAGCATGCCCACAGGCTCCTGGGCCCATCCGCCTGCAGGAGAATGTGCCCAGGACAGTGACAGTCCAGTGGGAGCCCTCTCCAGACGAGGTCCAGGGTCCCCCTCTGCACTACACGGTGCTGATGCGCTCCTCGTCACACGGCTCCTGGCACGAGGTGGCTGACCGCATCCACACCAACCACTTCACCCTCCTGGGCGTCCTTCCTGGCATTGAGTACCACTTCCGAGTAGTGGCCAAGAATGAGCTGGGGACCAGCAGACCCTCAGACACCAGTGAACCCTGGTGCCTCCCCAGGCAGAGAGGTGAGGGTCCCCTGGAGGGGGAGAACTTAGCTGACTATGCTCTGTACTTAGGCCACCTATTGTAGGGCGGTGGAGTGTGCAGGATGGGGCAGAGTGGCAGCTATGGCAGAGATGGCGGGGAGCCTGTCCAATGAACTGGACCATGGGTCCATCCAGAACCAGAGCCATGGCTTGGTCTTCCCAGCTCCTGCCTGACCCCTCCTCTACTGATGTTCCTTGTGTTCTGACTCAGGGTGGGTCCTCCCTGCAGGGAGAACAAGTTGGCCTGTGGGTGTTTGGGTGGATTGTATATTGGGGGGACCACAGCAGAAGCCCTGCTGAGTCTTCAGGGAGCCCATCAGAGCTGTCCCCTCTAGAGTGTCTTGGCTAGGGATCAGGAAACAGACTTCTCTACCTGGTTCTGTGTGAACTGTCGTTTAACTTGCCAACACGGGCCCTCCTTGGACTTGACTTGCCCATTTGGGCGAGATGAACAATTCTTGACTTCAGTGGCTACATGCTACCCACCTGAGCATCCCAGAATGGCCTCCTGCATGCTTCTAGATGAGAGATGAGGGCTATAAATTTAGCCATAAATTTAGAAGTTATCATGTTTCTGAAAACAAAGTGTATGTTACAATCAAATAGATGTGGAACTTAAAAGAGGTCACTAGAAAAAGCAGATTATAAAATCAGATGGGTGATTTAATTTCTAATAAAATGCAAAAAGATCTAGAAGTTTCTACACCAAAATATTAGCTTCAGTCATTTATATATATATATATATATATATATATATATATATATATATATATATATATATATATATATATATGTGGGTAGAGAGATCATGATTGGTTCTTACTCTTATCCTTTGGATTCTGAGTTCTAATTTGTCCGCAGTGAATGTGTGTTAGGCAATGGGCGTCAGCACCGTGAACTTTCTATAGACTTGGCCCAGACAGGTCTTCTCGCTTTCTGACCCTCCTCCCTGTCGCCCTGGTTTCCATGCAGGCAGATTCACAGTGAGGGCTCCCAGCTACCGGGAACCAGACCTGAGCCAGAAGCCCCGGTTCCTGGTGGGCCTGCGGACCCACCTGCTGCCTCCAGGATGCGAGTGTCGCATGACCTGTGCGGTGCAGGGATCACCCCGGCCTCATGTCACCTGGTTCAAGAATGATCAGAGTCTGGAAGGACACCCCACAGCATACAGCACTGATATGCTGGGCGTGTGCTCCCTCGTCATCCCCAGTGTCTCCCCTAAGGACAGTGGCAAGTACAAGGCTGTGGCTGAGAACCCGCTGGGCCAGGCTGTCAGCACTGCCACCCTCATCGTCACAGGTAAGGGTGGCTGTCCTGGCAATGGGCCACACTGGCAAGGGAGCAGGAAGAGAGCCAGAGGAACAGCCACCTGCCTGCCTTCGGGGAGCTGTCCCTTCTAGAGTGTCTTGGCTGGGGGTCAGGAGACAGGCTTCTCTACCTGGCTCTGTGTGAACTATCATTTAACTTGCCACCTTGGGCCCTCCGTGGCCTAAACTTGCCCAGCTGGGTGAGATGAGCAACTCTTAACTTCAGTGGCTACATGCTGCCCACCTAAGCATCCCATGGTGGCCTTCCACATGCTTCTAGATAAGAGATGAGAGGCTTCTTCTCTGTGACCACTCATAAATATGTCCAGATAGGGACATTTAGTGCCTACAGGGCCATATTGACTCTCTCACTGTAATCTCCAGTAAAGCAAATAGTATTTATTGATAAGAAAACATTTCCCCCCAGTGGTACTGAAAATATATTGTATTTTGAATAGAAAAAAAAATAAATAATAAATCCTAAACATTTTTAGTTATTCAGAATTGACCTTTGTGCAAACATGACCCTTCAGCACTGGTCAGAGCATCTCTCAGGGCATCTGTTCAGAGCCACTTAGGTGCTACCCTCAAATGCCCCAGCTTGAAGATACTCATAGTTCCAGAAAGAAGTGGGTATTTGATGGTGTTAGAGTTGCCCAGAGGGCTAGAGAAGGACTTTACCCAAGCTCTGAGAGCATGTGGTGGCCATGGATTTGAACCTGGGCCCACTGTGGCAGAGCCCGCAGAGCTAAGCTGTATTGCCTTCACCATGGATAGGTGTGGGAGGGGCAGCTGCCCCTTGTAGACCAGCTGGAATATCCTGTGTCTTGCAGAAACCAGCTCCTAGCCTCGCCCTACTCTGGGATGGCCCTGCCCGGCCCCCCAGCCACGGGATGGATGACAGAACTCTGAAGCTTCACTTCTGACACACACGCCGGCCTGGGGAGATGATCCCGAAGGATGGAGTCCATGCCTTGAGACTCAGGAGTAAGAGGGCTTCTGGGGATACTTGCCCAGCAAGACAGAGAGTCCTTGGGGAAGAAAAAGAAGGGTACAAGTGGTAGTCCCAGAATAGTCACTGAAAAGGATGACAGCAAACCTCCCAGATCTGCCCACATGGATTTCTTTCTTCTCCACTTCAGTAGACCTGGAAAGAGCCCGCCTGCAGGGTGCTCCTTGTTTGCCTAGTCTGGGCCCCTTAGAGGGAGGGTGGGAGAAGCTGAGCCTCTGTGACATCAGGAAGGAAAGAGGAAGAGAAGTCAGAGGTCCTGGGTGAGAATAAGGGCATCAAGGGTATGTGTTGGGGCACGGGAGACACCTTCTGTACTTTCCTTCATTAAAACATCTAAGAAATTTTTGCAAATCAACTTGGGTTTTGTGTGTTGTAGGAAAGATTCCAAAGCAAAGGTTTATGTATACCAGGCTCCTGCTGGGAGACGGGGTGGGCTCTGGTTCAAGGGAAGAACAAGGTCAGAGTTAGGCTCTCCTGCCTAACTGCGTAGGCCTACGCAGTTAATAGCAAGGGCAGAAAAGCCCAGAAAGGTTAGAGGCTCTGTGTAGCAGAGGCCTCCCTTCCTCCTGGCCCAGGCCTCCCGCATGCTTCCACCCTCAAGCATCCTCCAAGCAGCAGGGCTAGAGCCCTGCCTTGGGGGGTATATGTCAGGGGACCACAGAACTGGTTGCCTAGGACTGTCTAATGCCTGTCCCTCCCCAGAGACAGAAACAGTCTGGGCTGGCGAGAATCCTAGAGAGCAGGAACACAATCTGCTCTTCACTCCCTCTTTTTGGATCCTGGTCTCTGCTTTCCACAGTCTCCCTTTGCACCCTCTCCCCCAGTTCTGTGGCAGATTCAGGAAGAAAGGAACAAAAATCACAGGACAGGGGGTGAGGACAGCACCAGACCTTTCTTTTTTGCTTTGAAAAACCTTACAAGGTTTGTTGAAAATCCCGGAGACCATGTATGTATTTATGGGTGTATTTTTAAACATTTTATTCCTTATTCCTCTTCTATTTTCTGGAAAAGGTTGTATACAATTGATGTTCTATCTTCCTTAAATATATGGTAGAAATTACCAAATAAAACCAGAGGGCTTGGAGTTTTCTTTGTGGGAGGGATTTGGCCACCAAGCGTAAGTCAATTTTTTCAATAGCTATATAAGGCTGTCCAAGTTATTAGCATCTTTTTGAATGACATTTGATAATCTATGACTTTCAAAGAATTTGTCCATTTCACCTAAACTGTTGAATTTATTGGCATAAAGTTGTTATAACATTCCCTTATAATCAATCCATTTACTGTTCTATAGGCTCTCCGAGATATTGCCTCTTTCATCCTTCAGATTGGTAAAACTTATGTCTTCTCTCTTTTATGCTTAGTCAATTGATTTATCAATTTTATCAATCTTTTACAAGGACCACCTTTTGATTTCATCCATTTTCTCTATTATTTTTCTGTTTTCAATTTCATTGGTTTCTACTCTTGGTTTTACCATTTTCTTCCTTCTGCTAACTTTGGGGTTTAATTTGCTCTTTCCCCTTCCTAGTTTGCTAAGGTCAAATCTTAGATCATTAAATTATAGATTTTTACTTCCCTTCTAATTCAAGGATTTTTCCTTTAAGTGCTGTTTTAACTTCATCCCATATTTTTGCACGTTGGGCCTTAATTTCCATTCGGTTCAAGACATTTTCCAATTTGTCTTATTATTTCTTCTTTTACCCGTAAATTATGTAAAGGTATGTTGCTAAACTTCAAAGTAGGTGGGATTTCCTAGTATTTATTATTGATTTCTAGCTTGATTCTGTTATGGTTAGAGAAAATACTTTTATGATTTTAATCCTTCAAAAGAGGAAACGTGTTTCATGGCCCCAAACATGGTCCTCCTTATTCAGTGTTCTCTGTGCACTTGAAAATAATGTGTATGCTGCTGTTGGGGGGAGTTTTCTGACCAATTAGGTCAAGTTGGTTAATAGTGTTATTCAGTTTTCAGGTCCTTACTGATTTTCTTTCTAATTGTTGTCTCAAGTGTTTCAAAATGTCCTTTACTAAAATTTGCATTTTCTCCCATAATGGTGGTATATCATTATTTGTCAGAGTAATAATAAATAGCTAAGGAATAACTTCAGTATCTCCAGGGAGGGCAAGAAGGAAAGGGAGGAGGAGCAGAAATACCGAGAACAAGTATGAATAAATAGAAATACATCAGTAATCACAATGAGTGTAAGTCAAATTTCTGGGTAAAAGAAAGTAAAAAATAAACTCCATGGTATTGTACCATACTCTTCTCAGTAACTAATTTATCAAGTAGGCAAAAAAAGTACTAAGGATATAAGAAGTTGTGACCTACAAAATTAGTGAACTTAAGCTAATGGATTCACCTAGACCACTGTGCCAATAATTGGAGGCTTTTGAAGCACACATGAAACATTTATGAAAATTGCCAGATACTAGTTCATAAAGGTAGCCTGAAATTTTTCAAATGATTAGTGTCATGTAGATCACACTGTCTAGCCACAATGCAACTGGATTGGGAATCAATAATGAAAGCTATATTGAAAAAAGTACATATGTCTGGAAACTTTGAAACACAGCTTTGAGCAATTAGTCAAAGAAGGAACCCCGATGGAAAAGAAGAAAATATTTAGAGCTGAATGATAATTTTAAAAACTATGAAAAAAAATTTAGAATCCAGCAAAAACCAAATGTAGGTTTATAGTTTTATATGCTTACTCTGAAAAAGAAAAGCAAAAGTGCGGTATTGATGAGCTAAGGTCTGTGTTGGAGACAGTTTTCCAGTCTCCCACACTCAGGTATGATCATGTGACTCAGTTCTGGCTAAAGGAATGAGAAGTAATATGAATAACTTCCGGGTCAGACACTCAAACTTCCTGTGCAAACATCCACTATCTTTCTCTCTCTCCTCCCTCCTTCATCAACAATCTACAAAGAATCCTTTGTAATTCAGAGTATGGTGGAAATAATTGCTAAAAGAAACTCGAAAGTTCCTCTATGCTAACATACTCTGAAAAAATGATATGAGAAATAAACCTGAATTGTATTACCCTCCTGAGATTTGGAGGTGGTTAAGCAGTTAAACTATTCTGAATAATATAGCAAATGACTTTTTTTTTTTTTTCAAAACAATGCCTTTATTTCTATGTGGTGCTGAGGATGGAATCCAAGTCCCACCCCATACTAGGGGAGCGCTCTACTGCTAAGCCACAATCCCAGCCCAGCAAATGACTTTTTAAAACTGAAAAACAAGAGCAGCTACTGGTCTTGGCTCCCTTTCTTCCAGTCACACTGGTCTCCTTGTTGTGCCCTGCCTGTAGTAGTCTTCCTCTGGATACCTGCATGACTCACTCCCACACCTCTTCAGATCAGAGCTCAAACAGTACATCAGGCCTTTCCATCCCAGTGCCGGTGAAGACAAAGATAAAACCAATCTACAGCTTCTGCAATAGCCATCACTGAACTGCTTGCAGAACTTGCCTGGACACATTGTGAACTCACCTGTGTGCATTGTGAACTATCTGTTGGTGCAGCGACTTGTGATAGTGTTGGGGTATTTTTGCTGATGATGTCATCGGTGGTACAATTTTTCCAAAAGAGCCGTCAATTGGCTTGGTGTATCTTCCTCCCTTCTGCTTGTCATGATCATTCAGCTAAAATTTGGGGGCCAACAGAGGTGAGGCAAAGAACCTCACCCCCCCCCCCCCGCGCCACTGGTACAAAGACCTCTCCACAGGTGTGGCTGTATACTGGACCGGTAGTCAGTGACGGGTAAGATCCAATTTCAATGGACCTTACCTAACGGGTAAGGACCATATGTACTATTGGACAACCTAAGGCAGGCACGGTCCCTAAGCCACATGCTTGTTGTTTAAACAGAGAGGGGAGATGTTGAGAGCCACAGCCGAAGGGGCCCCAGCAAACTTCCAGCTGCCAGCCCTTTCAGACTGCCAGCTGATGATTGGCTCACAGATGGAGCCGAAGGGGCCCAGCAAACTTCCAGTGCCTTTCTGGCCACCTGATCTAAAATGGCAGCTCCTTCCTTGCTGCAAAATCTCTGTCCATTTTCTTTGGCTTATCTTTCTCCAAAGCATCGATCACTATCTGACATATTTATTTTGTACTTCACCCTGTATTTGTTTTATCCAATAGAAATCCAAGTTCCGCAAGGACATTTTTTGTGTGTGTCTTTTTTGTTGATTGTTCTATTCCCAGGGCAAACATAGGATGAAAAAGTAAAATGAAATATATTGATGCTTTGAAAAAAAACAAACAACGGATTCTCAAATCTCCAAAATTTAGTAAGTAACAAATGGAGTAGTAATTAAACTACAGGCATTAGAATCAGGCTGGTGTCTCAATGCATTCAGCAGCTGTGTGAAGTTAGGCAAGGCCCTTTCCTTCAGAGACTTGACTTCCTTGTTAGTAAAATTGGCATGAAACAGTGCTCTTTTTCAGAGTTGGGGGAATTAAAAGTGCATAACAGTGACTCCCTAGGTGCTGGTAGGAAAATGTTATGTGGGTTTTAACCATTAATGATTAAGGTGGCAGTGATGACAAGGGACATTTCTTACATAGAAAAGTGACCCCCTGCTTTGATGAGTTCGGAGTCATGGCTGGGAGGTCCTGGATCAGGAGCTGGCTGAGCTTCTGATGATGCAGGCCTAGCTGAAGGGGGTCACTGAAGGGGCTGAAGCTTGGAGAATTCACAGGGTTGGCCAAGAAGGTGCTGATCAAAGCTGCCTGGGAGAGACTGACCTGGGTGCTCTGCTCATCCAAGGGCATACAGAACCCAAGCCTCAGGCTCCCTGACCACCAGCCACCAGGAGACCCAGGGGATGCTCCAGCCCCTGGAGAGAGGAGTATGTGAGGCCAGGAGAATGCCTGGAACAAAGGCTGGGCTTGCCACTCAGTGTACTGGAGGGGTGGAGAAGACACAGGCTGGCCAGGTCAGGTTTCAGGCTCCATGGTGACTGCTGGACAGGAACCAGTGGGATCTGGGAAAGGTGGACAGTGTGGCAGAGCTGATGAGAGGTGGCCCCAAGGTGCAGCAGCTGGACAACATCTGGTGAGAGCAAGGGTCAAACAGACTGCACTGAGGTCGGATCAACCCTGCTGGGGGATCTTGGGCACCTCACTTAATCATCCTTGGTTTTGGACCTTCCTTAAGTGGGGTGACATTCCTGTCCCGCCTGCTTCACTGGGTAATGCAGATGAACACACTCGGAGCAATAGTGAGGCCTGGTAATGTTATGACTGCCTCCCCTCTGGGTATCCTGCATCGTCCTACTGATGGCCGCCCATGGCAGTGGACCCTGGGAGGAGCCGGGAAGCATCGATGGAGACATCATGGTCTGGCTTGCTTTTACCCTTGTGGGTGTTTCCCAAGTGCTATCCTCATTAATCTATCAGTTCCCTCACCTGTAGTTATGGAGCACTTACTATCTGGGTGCTAAGAACACAGCATGATTTGTGTCCTAGGGGCTCCTGCCATGGCCAGGCAGGTCCATTACAGCTGGGTCAGTGCTGGGTCAGAGCTTAGATGAGAGCAGGTAGCCCGGGGAAAGCATCAGTGGGGCTCATAACTCAGCTTAGGGGGATCAAGGAAGGCTTCCTGGAAGAGGTGGCACTTAGAGGATAGATTAGAGTTGCAAGGCAGAAGATCCAGATACAGGTGCCAGTGGGAACTGGTATTTTGGGAGGCGGGGAGGTAAAGCAGATGAGTCTTTATGATTGGATGCCAGCTGAGAGGGGCAGTAGGGTCCTCCCCTCTGGAGGATGGAGATGAGGCCATTTTAGGCACAATCTGTTGAACGCTGGAACATCTCAGTGGCAAGGCTCAGGTGTAAGGCTGGAGATGCACATTTGGAATGCATCCATGTCCCTGCTAGGAGAATAGGGAGGTGGTGAGATCGCCCTGGAGAAAGGAGTAGACTGAGAAGAGGGTGGGCTAGGGTGGACCCCAAGGAAGAGAGTGGATTCAGAAGCAGCCAGAGAAGTTGGGGAGATCAGCAGCAAGTGTGCAGGGGGGTGGGGGCCTGCAAAACAGAGCAAGTTGTTCATGGGCAGAGAAGGAAGAGCTGGGGCCTGGGT